ACTAAAAATAAATAAATGAATAAATAAAAAAGAAGGGTATGGAGCTCCAAGTCACTTAGACTTTTTCAAGCACCTGTCTATGAGCAACTTGCTCGATTTATAATTGGTGCTGGTTTCTATGTAATCATGTGTGCTTGGGAATTCTTATGAAGTGAGAAAAACTCAAGCTACAACTCATTCTTCAAATGTAATGAAATATTCATGAATGCTAAATTTAACAATGAAGTTGATATATTCATGTGTCTCTAGACATTAAACATTTATTAATTTTGATTTTGATTTTGTCACTTTCATGTTTTAAAGCATATAATCTTTTTCCCAGATCTTAAACTTTTCCTAGAAGTCTGTGGAAAGTGCACAGACACAGGCCTACCGTGTCTAATGGGTAAAACAAGCCCAGACTCTGCCTCTCGTGGATTGTCTTGACCCTAGAGAGGCCACTGCTTCATGAAGCCATCTTGATGTGTCACTGCACTAAAGAAAACTCCTCTCTAGTTCCTCCTTCAACATAGAGGATGGATGGAGCTTTTTGCAGATGTGGCAACATTGGAAGATGGGAATAATGAGGAAAAGAAGACCCTCCATGAGTCAGATCCTGCGAGAGGAATTTTCACTTTAATTCCAGTGAACAGTTAACAACCCTTACCGTGTGCCCAGCCCTATGCTGTAGACTGGCAATAAGAAGGTGTAACAGGCAAGGTCTCAGTCAGTTCTAATCACAGTGCAGGACATGGGTGTCCTTGTTCCCTTCAGTTTACACATGTACATGTAGACTCTGGGGGTTAAGTGACTCCTCCAAGACCACACAAAGTGTTGAATGGGGTCTCTGATCCGCACCCTGCTCTCTACCACTCTAGTACCCAATTAGACCAAGACACTTGATTGCCTTAGCAGGGAGAGCGCTGGCAGAGGTGGATGGAGAAAGAGGGAGATATAATAAGTGCTAATTAAAAAATAATCTCCCAGCATGTGAGATGAACTTGGATTAATATCTTAGATGATCAACTTGAGCAAGTCTTATAGTTTGTTTTTTCAATGCCAACGTGACAGGTACTTTTAGAATAATCAGTAAAATCAATGAACGTCTCCATTATTTCAGAATGAATTTCTCCCAACCATATCATTTCCTCATCAACACCAGGAAGCAGACCTTCCCGGGCTTTCCATTCAGCTGCCTAAAGGGCATTTCCCCAATGGCGCCAGGAATCAGAATTCTGGGCCAACAGATTCCACATGCCCAAGTGAGCTCCCTACTCACATCTCCCCTTGAACTTCCATCGCTCACCCAGCTGGCGGCCTCCTGGTTGACCTCCCCCAGCCCCCAGCATTATCTTAATTCTCAACCCCTACTCTGTGCTGCTGCTTTTCTGACCCGCCTCTGCTGACCCGACCAGCCTGCTGGTCACCAGATCTCCTGCAAGGCCTCCGCTATTCACCTTGGCTTCTCAGTGGCATGTGTCCCTTCCACCCCACAGAGCCCCCACCCAGGTCTCCTGCACCATTCTCATCCTCATCTACATGAAAATCTGAAGCTATTACCGTGAGGTTTTCTTACCATCTACAGAACAAAACCCAAGATGGATCCAAGGCACCAAGGCCCCTGTGCCCTTCCTGTCCTGCCTTACACCCTGGAGTCATGTCTGCTGTTCAGCTGCTCCAAGTGGATACAATTGCTGTTGCCCATCATGTCCCAGGGACATCAGGGAGTTGATGACAATGTCCATAGCTAAGCCTTATATGGTACATACCTTGTGCTAGGCTAGGTGCTAAGTGCTTGCATAGGTATTAGCCCACTCCTCATAGAAAAGCTACCAGTGAGGACACCAATGTTCCCATTTTGTGGGTGAAAACACTGAGGCAGAGGGAGGTTAAGCAACCATCAAGGTCACTCATCTGGTGAGTGAGCAGCAGCCCTGTCTCTGACAATGAGTTTCCACCCCCTCTTTCTTCTCCAAGAAATCTTCTTGGAATCTTCTCCAAGAGAAGGCTAAGAGCCTAGGCGAATGACTCTGGAGCGCTCACCAGGTGGAAGATGTCTGTGTCCAGCTTCCGTCACTGGCTGGAAGATCCCGGCTCCGGGCTTGATTGGCAGTTCTGTGCATTACAAATCTGGGATCTGACTTCCAGAATTCTTAGATTTCTAAAAGTCTCATCCCTGATAGGGAGAAGGGAGATGGTGGGACTCACCAAAGGAGGGCTTCTTTACCTTGGAGCCCATAGGCTTCACAGGGGGAACGTGTCCTGATAGTGCACGTGAAACACCAAATGTGTGAGCTCACAGGGGAGCAGAATTCGCCAGGGCTGTGGCTCTGTGTGGCCTGGCCTTGCTTGTTCCTTCACACCATGGACTTTCAGGGCCTCTTCCTAGCTCTTCAGTTAGACCTAAACACAGGGCCCACCACACTCCTCCCCTGTGTGTGTGTGCAGGTGTTGAGCAGGGCCACGGGAGGTGGTGTGTGTGCGCCTATATCCAGGTGTGCGGGGCGCAGGGACATGAGGTCTGACAGACCTCACGAGGCAGGTGACCCAGGACCATAGGTCCACATTCAGGCTCCATTGTGACTCACACCACCACTGGTTCCTTGGTCAGCACTGAAGAGGCTCCAGAGCTCTGTCTGGGTGGCCTGATCAGCCTGGTGCTCGGTGCCATGTGGTTGCCACACCTGGCTCCCTCCTGTTCTCATCTGGAGACACAGCAGAGGACTGAAGAGTGAGGAGTCTGGGTTTAATGTCCTCTTGTTTCCTGATGGGGAGCCCTGGCCCACAGATGAGTCGGTGTCATAAAAACGAGCCCGACATTGAGTGGAATCACAGTAGGAAACTGTTACAAGGCTCTTCCCCTCTGTGGGTCCTCACATGGTGCTATGGCATCGGGGTTCAGCCTTCAGGGTTGCTGGTTGCTTGGGAGGTGGCTGTCCGCCAGGAATAGACCAGTACAACACCCTGCCCACTTGCTCCAGGCCCACACCTGCAGTGATGTGCCCTTAACCAGAGTCACAGCACAGCTCCAGCCTGATGGATCCAGAGGTGACTCTGACGAACCACGCGGAGAGAAGCGACCACCCCATTTCTTTCTTCAGGGCTACTCTATCACAGAGGCATTCAGCAGGGGATCCATAAATGTTTGTTGAGTTCACGAATTAGGCTCCATCTCCTCTTGACCTCAAGCTGCTTGCTGGTGACAGCAGAACCTTCAAGATAGCCTTTGTTTATTTTTTAAATCTAGAGAAGATGCACAGCATGGGTGGGGTCAGTGCTAACTGGGCGAGACTAACCTAAGTCCATTGGGGTCCATAATACCTGTCGCCATCCATGGTCTCTTCTATGAAGGTTCCTAATGTTTCCTTCACCTGGCTGTGGACCCCTTAAAGATGAGGGGAGTTATGTCCTATAGTCTTGTAGCCCCAGCTCTTAGGTTGGTCCTCAGCACATCCCAGGAACCCCGATGAGTCTCCTGATGAATGGGAGGGTAGGCGCACATGAGCACATGCTCATGTCAGGGAAGTGATCAGTGTATACCCTGGTCACAGTTCTGGTGGCCGTCCTTATAGGACATTGTTTGTGCATCTGAAAGTGACCAAGGAAGGTTCCTGAGCCTCGGCATACTTGTCTTTAAGGTTGTGCCCTTGAAGGAGTATAGTCTACAAAAGTGAAGGTGAGCATTGGAGTCCTCGGATGGGCTTTGGATCCACAAACCAGAGTCTGTGTGCTGTCAGGTAGGTGACAACCTCTCCCAAATTAACAAAAAATGTGAACAACAATTTCTCACTGTTGGTTTAGGATTGAATGAGATCATCAAGCACCTTGAACACAGTTGGTGCTCCATAAACGCAGTCCCCTTTCTTTGTGAGCCTGTCTCTTATTCTCTCTGCCCTTGTTTTCCTTCTCTGAAGAATATGGGGTGTGACCTTCTGGGTCACTTGGGTGGACAGAACAAGAGGCTTCCTGATTGCTCACAGAGGGAAGTGGCAAGGACGGTGACGTACACATACTCAATTTTAAAGGAGACTAGTTACCAGCGAAGCAAAGCAGCCTGGACGAGACACCTGCACTAGCCACAAATAAGCCCGGCATCCTTCTGAGCCACTAGGTGACCAGGAATGAAGTGGTTTCCTCAGTACAGCTCATGGAGACAGCTTGGGGCTGCTGACCTTCACCTTGAGCTCTCCACACACCCCAGGAGCTGCCATTCCCTGTGTACCCTTAAATTTAGCTCTTAGATCTGCACAGCACACAAACTGGGGGTGATTCGGTTCTACAAAGACTAAACAGCACTGGGGCAGCTGGCATAGCACGGACTTCTTGGCAGAAACGGGAAACTTCTTTAGGGAAATAAGGGAGGCCATTGCCTTCAGACGCCTAAGGAATTTAAAGCACCGAGTGCTGGGACCTGGCTATGCTGTGATTGCGGGTGTCCATGGGGAGACTCCTGCCTGCCCCCAATGTCCACCTGCAGATGCTTCAGGCTTCCCACTGTAGTGTGCCTGTACTGTGGTGGCACTTTGCAAGGGGGTGGTCTCAGGATTTGCTGTGAATGAAGACCTGGTCTAGTTATTTGTGATGAGGGGCTGGTCTCAGGTTCAGGCTGAAGGAGGGAGAAGGGGCAGATCATCCTGCAAACATCCATTAGCCATGGGGGCAGGGGGCAGGGCCCGTGGACAGCAAAGGAAGTAGAGGTATCCAGCCAGCCAGCCCTGGTGGGACAGGGAATACCCTGATTCTGTAGAAGGGGCTTCCCATCAGTGTGCCACATGCTGTTTGGACAAAGAAACCTTGTGTGTGTGGGGGCTTCCCCTGCACAACGAGCCAGGCTCAGTGGCCATGGTCCCTTATTGGACATTGCCTGAGTTTGCCATTTCATTCCCTACTGCCAGCCCAACAGTCACGTGGGTGTCCCGGCTGCCCCTCCTGCCAGGGGCTCGGCACCTGGTTTGTTACTGGGTTAGAGAACAGGTAAGCAGAAGCGGGGAGCAGTGACCCCCAGTGCAGGCGGCCCCTACCATGTCGCTCTGTGACTGCATGGCCCCATACATGGTGATCCCGTTGGAGGGCGCTGCTGGCTGTGGAGTGTCAGGCTGGATGTACCCTCTTCTGTCAATTAAGCTGCAAGAGAGAAGAGAAGAAAACCCAAAGATGCCAGCAACAGGACTGGAGTGTGGGTCTGGGGTCCCGTCCAACTTTAAAAGGCCTGGGTCACTGCTTCCTTCCCGTCTAGATGCCTGACCCCTGCAAGAGACCCCACATCCCTCTGTTGGACCCCTCACCGTGGGATACTCCTAGTTGGTCTCACCTCATCCTGCCACAGTCTGCCACCAGTTTCTCTCTGCAGTCCTAACTCCATGTTTTCTTATCACATTCATTCAGCAAACCTGTCCCCAGCACCTGCCACGTTCCAGTGTACTGCAGGGGACAAGAGCCACGGCGTGGCCTTATACACTCCTGTGCCTTGCCACCTGATTTTCTGCTCAAGCCCCCACCCCCGTCCTTTGTTCCCTCTTGCTCCACTGCCCACTGGGGTTGGTGGCAAGGGGAATGTCCTGGGTTGAATTATACAAAAAGATACGTGGAAGCTCCAACCCTGGTGTCTGTGAGGATGAACTTAGTTTGAAACAAGGTCCTTGCAGATGTATCTACATTGAGTTCATACTTAATTGGGTGACCCTTAATCCAATGTGACCAGTGTCCTCACAAAGAGGAGAAGACAATAGGGAAGGAACATTGTTTGAAGGAACGGAGGCACACGGGGAGGAGGCCGTGTAACCCAGAGGCAGAGAATGGAGGATGTACCAGCTGGCCAAGGCCCGCAGCCACTGGGAGCAGGCAGAGGCAAGGAAGCGCCCTGCTCCGGTCTCAGGGGGAACAGCCCTGCCTGCACCTTGGTTTCAGCCTCCAAAAGGTGAAGGAATAGTTTTCAAGGGCTTCCTGAGAAAGTTCCTGGCCTAAGGAAGGTCTTGAGAAGGTGTTTCTGGGTGGATCTCGAGCTGTTGTCACGAGGGGCTGACACCCACCAAGCAGGCCTGACCCTTTCTGTCGTTTTAAGCTCCGTCCCCTGTTTTATGGCACTTTGCTATGGAGCTCTGGGAAGCTACAGGACTTAGCCCAAGAAGACACAGAGGGCTGTAGGCTGGGGCTGGAGTGGCAGGTTAAGTGACCATTGGGGGAACCAGCCCTCCCAGTGTCAGGGAGCTGCAATTGGAGGCTCTCAGAAGAACCCCCAGGAGAGGATCAGCCTCAAGGACCAGAGGCTTTCCCGTGGAGTGATCCCCTGGAATGAATCTCACCCTATATAAAGCCTCCCCAGGACCTTTCCGTGTAGCCCCAAACCACTTACAGCCTGGAGCTGCTTGATTCACGAACCACTACCTGCCCAAATCATTTCTATAACATTCGAATGTGCCTCAGTTTACCTTTTAACAAGCAATTCAAGCAGTTTGAAGGGGAGAGCCATCCTGGAGAGATGGCCCACCCAAAAAACTTGGATTTTGGAAAGAATATGGCCCAACCCAGCCAAAACAGCACATTTAATCCACTTGTGAAAGAAATCATTTTGGTTATGACACAATTTGATTTATAGAGAGAGAGTAGTGCCATGTGCAAATCCAGGACTCAGGAACTAGAGAAGAGACTTGGACAGAGGATGAGAGTTTTCAATCCCTTTCCTGGACTCAAATGTATATTCAGACAAGGGAAAAGATGCTCAGTTTGCTCTTATACCCTTCCAACACCCCTTTATTAGGAACAACCTAAAATGGCTCAAGGACTTCCTGAGACAGCTGCTGAGCTGACCTAAGGGCCCTGAGAATGAGGTCTAGGAGAATCTGGAGCTGTCTCCACGGTGGGCTGACCCCTACCAAACTGGTCAAACCCTCACCTGGGTGGCCCCTATCTCAGAGGCCCTGGCAGCTCCTGCCTCCCCCCAGCCCCCCACCTCTGCAGGAATCCTCTGAGCAGCTGTTCTGGGGGTCAGCGGAGGTCTCAGTTAAGGAGAAAGGTATGCTGGGCTCCCAACTCCCCAGGCCAAAGGCATAAAAGGATTCATTTCTAGTGACCCAATGGCACCATGATGACTTTGACCAGCCGTGGCCCAGAACTGCTGGAGAATGGTGGTGGACATATCCTGTGCTTGCTTTCTTTTCTTTTCTCCTTTGCATTACTTTTACTTCACTAATGAGTGTTCACTGATGCTGACACAAACATGAAGGTGTGTGTGTCCCCAGAGCTCACTCTGGTGAGGTCTAGGTGCTCAGGGGGACTGCCTTGAAGACAATCCAGTGGCCTTTGTGGTTTCTCTGTTTTGTCCATTTCTTGTTGATGACTGGTTGGGTGATCTGTAGGGAATCATCTCCTGGGGCCCAACTCACAAATCCCCAAACCCTGGCTGTACTTTGACCCTGTACCATTCTGATCCAGGTGTCACCTGCCCCTGGGGACATACACTGCTTCTGTTGGCAGGCGGCCTGGCTAGCTGGCATTTACTAGCTGTGATCTTGGGCACATGATTTAAATCCTGCCCCTGAATTCCCTCATCTATAAAATGAGAGATAATGGTACCTTCCCCACGCATACAGAGTGAGCTTTTAAAAAGCTCTTACCTGTAACCCACTCACAGCAAGGCTGCATATGAATCTCATAAGTGTCAGCCGCTGCCATGATTGATATCGTCATCGTTAATAGCCTGCAGTCTCAACTCTCCAGGCCACATGGATTGCCCTCGAGGAACTATTTCAGCATTATATCCTCTACAACTCAGCTCTGGCACTTGTTTCTACAGTTTTCTAACTGCTTCCTACATTGGCTCCCTGTTTGCCAGAGACATCCTTATTCCTATCTTGAGCTTTAGGGACTCTTCCCCAAATCTGATACATTCAGCTCAAGACCAAATATGATGTGAAGTGTGACCAAAGGAAGCCAGATCTGTTTATCATTAAGATTGTGTCTGCCTGACACAAAGGGGAGAGCTGAGCTGGTGGTCATCGGTGAGTGTGACCAGCTGCACCAGGTTTCCACCAGGCACAGCCCCGGCCTCTGCCCCGGAAGGCCTGGGCTACCACCACATAGCAATTTGCTCTTTCAACATCTGTGAAGAGCACCATAGTTTCTGAATCTTACCTTGGAGAGATGGGCCCACACAGGGCCACACAGCAATTTGTAAAGATATTTCCGTAGCTGTAGGGATTGTAATTTTCTTTACCTCTTTTATTTGACCAAGATCCTTTAATCTGAAAGACAAGGAAAATCAATAACATACAGCATCCTTCATGCTGATGCCAAAGTTTAGGGAAACTGGATCACGGGAAACCCATGAGGAATGCAAATAATCTTTATTCATGTCTTCACCAGGAGATGTACTTTTCCAAAGGAAAACTGGCGTTTACTGCAAACTTGGAAACATCTCCCAAGCAGCAGCTTAGATGGGGAGAGAGTGACATTCTTTGGGGACAACCATCTCTATTTATACCACATGGAACTAAAAGGTCCTCTCACACAAGCCAGTGGAGATATTTTCACATTCACATTTACTACCCTAATGACAATTAGATGAATGGACGCTGGAAAAGCCATTGTGGTCCCCAAATTGCCAATTTAGATGTAAGAATTCAGCCTCACAGTCTTGCTAAAGTGTTTGTTTGGCAGATTGTAATATTCACAGTTACCTAATTAGCTCTTTTAGTAGTCTTCTATCTCATGTATTCTATCACCACCAAGTTTTTCTCAAGTTCTTGTTTAAGGTAGCCTGACCTGTTCTGAGACATTTGATTCATGTATGGATAGAGACTTCTGTCAAAATCTAAGTATTAAGAGCAGCAAGGACCATGCTCATCAAAAAAACATATCCATCATTACGATTCCTATTCTGTTCCCCCTTTTGGCCTGTGTACATAGACAGGTAGGTGATCCCAGGTAAAAAGTTAAATTCAGGGGCTAAACAGACATTTAACATGAAAGGGAGACTCAAGATGTCAGGCTGCCTTGGTCTCTGTCTATTAGGGGAAGGGCAATGCGTTGCTTCCAAAATTATTTAAGAGGAATAGAAAGAACCTTCTCCTCAGGGCATGAACTGGGTGCCATTTGGCCATTCTTAGTATCCAACCAATATGGTCAGATAAGGACAGGAGAATGCAAAACTGCCCAATAGAGACAGGACAACACCCAGAAGTGCTTCCCCAGTGTGTCCTCTCTTTCCAAGGCTCACATCTGGAGTGGGATGTGGGAGAAGCTGGCCCCGACCTCTTCCTTTCCTTCCCTCCTCCACCGCTCAACCCAGCAGTGCGCCATGTCCCGTGCGGTCAGGCACTTACGTCTTCATTTGTCGTCTGGTTGGAGCTGATCAAGTACGTGTGGAAACCCGAGAGGCCAACGATGGACCACACAGAGAAGAAGCACACCACGGCCTCCAGCACGGTGGCACGAGTCAAGGAGCACAGGGAGAGGCGGCGAGCTTCCACGGCCACCCAGGGGCAGGAAGGAGTGGGAAGGGAGACAGACACCCCCTGCTCCTCAGGCTCCCTCCTTGCCAGCTGTGAGGGAGGGAGAACACTCCTTCCCACATCTGTCTTCCTCTAACCAGAGGGAGACCTCCTACTGGGCAGGAGCTATGTCACATTCTCCTGTCCCCCCTGTCTCCTTGGTTCAGTGGGGCACTTGGGGCTCTGGCAGGCTCCCCGAGCATCACTCACTATTTACAGCTGTGCCTCCTTCAGTGGGCTGTCCTCCCCACTGGACCTTGACCTTCTCCTGTGACTCCTGGTAGAGTCAAGGACTGAGGCACCCAGGACAGAAAGCCCAGGGGTTTGGGTTGGCAGTGGTGCAGGCCTTTGACGGAGGACTAAACATTGAGTAGAGAGCATGCTCGCCTTTCCAAAGCTGAGGACTACAGCCAACAGGTGGTGTCTCCCCCCAGGACTGCCTCTGAGTTCCAGAACCTTCTGCTTCAGTGGGCCATCCACTGAGAGAAGGGTCCATGCCTCTGATTTGGCAGGGGCATTTCTCAGAGTGGCCCTGGGGAGGGGTTGCTCTTACTTAGGGGCCTCTTCCCAGTCCCTCAGCCTGTCCCTGACATAAAAGGCTGTGCTCAGCTGCTGGAGACATGCCTTCCTCCTCACAGGACAGCCAGAGATGTGTCAGCCGTACGAGAAACAGCTTGGCCTTCTTCAACAGCTGAGAGCAAGCAACTGAGAGTGTGGCAATTTGTAAGGATGAGAGAATTTTCTTCTCCTACAAGTGTTTATAAAATTCTATTTACAAGATACAGATGTTTCTCAGGAAAGACCCCATTCATCATGGGGCTGGTCTGGGGGTTAAATATATATCTTGCATTCACTGGCAATGAATTTCGGGCTGGGGAAGGAAGCCCTTGCACTTTCCTCAGGCTTCCCAGGATGCAAGTTGTAGAGATCATGCTGATGCGTCACTATCGATTTTTCCAGGTCGGAGAAAATTCATCTTTTGAAGAACTGAATACATTACCCAGTGCAGTGCCACAATCTGTCAGAGCACGATCAACAAATGTCATTGTCCAGCCCATGGGGCTGTGCTCAAAACAGGAGGAATGAATGGGCTTCCCTCTGTGGGCTGTAAGCCAATGGGGGAGAGGGCAGGGTGAGGACCTGGAGGGGATAAGAGAGGTGCAAGGAAGCATCCCCCACCCAGGGCTGACACTGGGCTGGGTGAACCTTTTCCTTCTCCAGGGGTTACCTCAGTGGGCAAATGGCCATACTGGGAGCCTGGTGTGCACATGGGACACACAGATGGTAGACCATGGAGCATGGGTGACCTTGTTCTCTATAGCCCTCCAACAGGTCAGGACTCAGAGGTGCTCCATCTAAGAAGGGACAGCCTGGGGAGGCAGCCAGGTGGGATTCACTCCCCACACAGGCTGGAAAGCAGAAGGGGAATCCAGGGAAAAGGATGAGGGAACCAGAGGGGAGAACGAGTCAGGAAAACCAGGAGATGCAAGAGGCGACGACACCAGTAATGAGTCTGAGTCTCAGCTGGAAGGAGAAGACACAGGGAGGTAAAACAGGAGGTGATGTGTGAGGCCAGAACCAGACATGGTCAAAGGTAAAGGGAGAGAATGAAGAACGGAACCAAAGGATATATTTACTGAATAATATGCAGAGAGCTGAGCCTCAATCTCAGAAATACCATGTGTCACCAAAAGTTGACAATCCAGGTGTAACCACAGTGAGTCAAAAATAGACACAACGTTCACATGTGTGAACCATATAAAAACCGGTGTGTAACGTGGGAAGAGTCACAGCAGGCAGAGGGGCTCCTGCCCATCTCCTGGCTGCTGCTCCCTTTGCAAACCACCTACAATTACTGTCCCCATTAGTGGGCGATGTGACCAGTGGCTGGGGACTCTTAAAGGTTTACAGCAACAAGAAAAAAATACAACTTCCTACATTCCTATCTCACGTGCTTCAGGAACATTTCATCCATAACAGAAGGCAGTGCTGCTGTTAGGCTGCCCCTGGGTCAAAATGACATGAATCCAAGGGAGGACACAAGACGCAGCCCACTTCTGCTGCCCTGTCCCCAGCTGACAGCCCCTCAGTCAGGGTGTCTTGAGAAATAAATCATCGCTGTCACTCAGAACAATGGCCGGCATCACTGGCCCTGTGTCAGGCACCGTTCCAAAGACTTCACACGGACCAACTCACCACCCCTCAGAGCAATGCAAGGGGAGGGCATTCCCAGCAGCAGAGAGGGAAACCGAGGCGGGAAGCCGTGAAGAATTGTGCTTAGGAATTAGCAGAGCTGGGAGTCAAATGCTGGAAATGAGCCCTGCCAGTGAGACCGCTGAGCCTAGGGCTGGTTCCTTTCCCCATTTCCCCTGCTGGGGGACATAGGGACACTCCCTGTGAGGGATTCGAGACGCTGGGGCAGCTGAAGGAGTTCGTTCCCCTCACATCCACAGAGGCACAAATACCCAAACAACTCATCTCACAACCCCTAGATATAGAAAATATCTACAGCATGATAAGATCAAGAAATAGAAATTCTCTTGTGTGTATCAAAACCCATTTACTGAATTTTTTCTTTTCTTTTTTTTTTAAGAGAGATGAGAGGACGAGCTGGGGTTGTGGCTCAGCGGTAGAGCACTCACCTTGCACGTGAGAGGCCCTGGGTTCGATTCTCAGCACCACATAAATAAATAAAGTAGAGATATTGTGTTCAATTACAACTAAAAAATAAATATTAAAAAAAAATTAAAAAATAGAGATGAGAGGAAACAAGCCAATTCCGCTGGGAGCCAATTTAATAAGTGGTTGTGTGTTTACTGCTGAGATGGGTTTTGAATTAGAGCAGTCACCACTGTCAGCCTCTGCCAGCTCCTCCAATCCTCACTAAGACAGTGGCTGGGGATGGCTACCAACTCCCCATGGCCCCAATCCCACAGGTTGCCCACTGGTTAATGCACTAGATGTTGAGGGTGTTGACAATGACTTCAACAAGTGCTGATCTGCAGATGCCCCTCCCTTGAGTCCTCAGAACCCCAGAAGTGCCCGCTGGGCATGAAGCTCTGCATAGGGCTCAGGTGAGGGTGGGAAGGACCAGCTCCCTCCCCTGAGGGAACAGGGGCTCTCTGTGCAGTGAGAAGGTAAGCAGAGGAGAGGCCATGCATGGACGTGGAGATGCTGTGGGAAGGTCGCCTGGGAGGCCCCAGGATTGGAGAATCAAGTGGTGAGAGATCAGGGACTCCATATCTTTAACTTTGGCTTCCTGCCTTAGTCTTAGAAAAATGCACATAAAACCAAATTTTCTTATAATATTAAGAGGCTTAAAAGCTCCCCTGAGGCCCACCATAGACACACACTGACCTGGAGGTAAGATGCCCCTATTTATTCAAATCCCTCCACTTTTAGATAGGAGGCTGAGGCACAGAGAGGGCCTCTGCGTTCGTCAGAACAGTTCATGGCAGAACAGAACTGAACCTGGTCTCTAGACTTTTAGGAGACAGGGAACCCATCCCAAGGCTCCCCACAGTGGCAGTGACTTGGTTGGCCTTGGCACTCATCACCTGTGACTTGGTGGGCCTCAGCACTCACAGTGGCAAGGCAGAGACTGCCACTGAGCCTTGGTCCTCAGTCCTATGGCCTTAGTGACAATCCTTCATGGACAGCTCATCTCTGCCAACACACCATCATCACCTGTCTTCTCCACACGTTACCCCAGTCAGGCCAGGGACAGTATTTTTCACCAAGTACCAAATCTAGACAATCCTTTAAAAAGCCTGTGCATGCCTGTGTTGTGTGAGTTTTCTTATTTACTGGATTTTGTGGGATTCCAGAGTGGTGGGGCTGCTGACATCCAGGGCTGGGCCACTGGCTCTCTCCTTCCTGGCACTTGGCTGTTGAGGTCCTGGGGCCACCCCGTGGTAGGGGGTGTTTCTCGATGTGCCCTAGGTGTGTGTGCCCCCAGGTCCTCACGCATGTCATTCTGCTCCAGGTTCTCTGTCCTGGGAGGGAACTGGATGCATAAAGTATTCTGGTGTGTAAAATAGAAGAGAACGTGTTGCTTAAGATCGTTTCTTTCCCCTAACGACTACTATGAAATAGCAACGCCTCCAGCAGGAAGGCTCTGATGGCCGAGCAGATGGCTGCAGGGGCTCCGCTGTCCTCTGGGCAGAGTCGACACCAGCGTTTAGCGCTTTTAGATTCAGGTCTGGCAAGCTTTCCTCATTTGTTGGATGACCCCAGACGGGGCCGGAAAACACAGCTGTGCACTGTCACCTGCAAGCCTGCTACCCTGTCTGGGGCAGGGACTGTGGCAATCTGTATGAATGACAGACCCTGAGGGGCATTTGACCACATCCTTTCTCTCACATCCTCTTCACCCGCGTGCTTGGACATGGGGCAATGAAGGCGTGAGGATGTGCCAGATCACAATATAAGAAGTCACCAGAATTAATGTTAGAAGTCACTAGGATCCCAGTCAAAATCCCAACTGGTGTTTTGAAAGATGGAATTTGACTAACAGACTGTAAACTTCATCTAGGTGATAAAAGGTACAAAAACAGGTGAGAAATTCTGAAAAAGAATCGTCACCTGTCTTTATGTCTTCTCAGAAATAATAAGAAGGGCTCTGACGGCAGAGCAGACGGGGGCAGGGGCTCCGCGGTCCTCTGGGCAGAGCTGGCCTCAACACTTGTAGATATCCAGGTTCAGCTTTCTGCATCTGCTGGGCGACCCCAACAGCAGGCAGGAGAAGACTTCCAATCAGTAAAACAAGGGGCAGCAACAGCAGGGGCAGCAACAGGACAGGGCAGAGGCCAGACACAGGCTTGTGGGACGGGGGTGAAGGAACAGACCCGTGGTTCTCAAAGTGTGGCCCACGGACCCTCAGAGTCCCCAGAAAGTAAGAGTTCAAGGTCGCTCCAGGTCAAAGCCACATTCCCA